TCGTGTGCTAGCTGCCGGCTGCTCTGCTTTGTGTCGTGGCGCTGGGGGCGAGAGCGCACTATACAGAGGTCGGGAATCGGCGGGTCAGTTGGGGGATGGGAGATCTGTCCACGAATCGGCGGGTCAGTCCGGGGGGTGGGGAGGTTGCTGTCCATATGAATCGGCGGGTCAGTCAGTTGGAGAGGGCGGCGTCACTGCCTTGCCTAGGGCAGCAGCAAAGCTAAATACACCGCTGGAGTCCCCACATCTAAGTACTGGTAAGCTGCAATATATACATTTTCTTGTTCTTGGGTTTAGATACGCTTTAAGTAAAGGACTCTATTATTATTATTTTACATTGTTATGCACCCTCAGGGGTTGGGACACCTTGTTGTGCACACTCAGGGGTTGGTAGATGTTGTTCTGCACATTCGCGGTTTAAGAGACCTTGTTCTGCACCCTCGGGGGTTGAGAGACCTTGTTGCACACATTCAGCGGTTGAGATATCTTGTTGCACACTCAAGGGTTTGGGAGATCTTGTTGAGCACGCTCAGGGGTTGGGGGACCTTGTTGTGCACGCTCGGTGGTTGGGAGACCTTGTTGTGCACGCTCGGTGGTTGGGGGACCTTGTTGTGCATGCTCCGTGGTTGGGGGACCTTGTGGTGCATGCTCTGTGGTTGGGGGACCTTGTGGTGCACGCTCCGTGGTTGGGACACCTTGTTGTGCACACTCAGGGGTTGGGACACCTTGTTGTGCACACTTGAGGGTTGGGAGACCTTGTTGTGCACATCCAGGGGTTGAGATACCTTGTTGCACATTCAAGGGTTTGGGAGACCTTGTTGAGCACGCGCAGGGGTTGGGAGACCTTGCTGTGCACACTCGGTGGTTGGGGGACCTTGTTGTGCATGCTCCGTGGTTGGGGGACCTTGTGGTGCATGCTCTGTGGTTGGGGGACCTTGTTGTGCACACTCAGGGGTTGGGCGGCCTTGTTTTGCAAACTCGGGGGTTGGGAGACCTTGTTATGTACACTCTGAGGCTGTGCATTCATGGTGCCAAGTCAGGCAGTTGTCAGCCTTCAGATGACCTGTGACCTGTGACCTTCAGATTGTCCCTACAATGGCAGTTCCCATAGTTTTATCCTGATCGATTCATTTTATTATAAACACAGAAAATTTAATTTACTCTTTACACCTGGAAGAAAAAAATAAGTCACAGGACACGGGCTCCAGGAAAAAAGCCATCATTTATACATGTATGTACATATACAATGAACACAAGTTCTAAACATAAGTATCACCAAAGAAAACTCCCATTAGAACCCTTTTGCTGCCACCAGCGACCCACATCACCGCAAAAGCTTAACAGGGCTCCTTCGCAGCAATAGGTTTAGTATAAAAACAATAAAATATACTTTAATATTTTTTTTTTCTAGAAAAATCCTCATTAAACATGCTTTTATCATGACATGGCATGGTTCATGACAGGCATAACGGTTCCGAGAAGCTTGCCAGGTTAGCACTGAAAGCGCCTGCCACAGAGGCGTATGGGCTAATTCCATGAGGCTGCGTGAACAGCCCGGTCTGATCATGGACTCGACATCTCTGTCTGATTCTGATTGTATGTCGGGTTTTTGTTTGCAGGATATGGATATGGAAGTGACTTTCTTCCATGCAGAAAATTAGTTTGAAATCTCCATGGGCAATGTAGACTTGAGACTGAGCCCGACGGGCCTCCTTAAGGAACCACGGATATAAATGATTTACTATCTGCATGCAACAATGGCAGTATTATAATGGATGGACGTGCTTGTCACCCCATCACAGCTCTTGGCTTTGCTTTACTGAATATGTCCACAAGTGTACTGTGGACAGAGGTAGTTGAATGGAGCCTGGCTCATACCTAGGGTCAGCACAGCTGTTAGTGAACCTGTACACATGCCCATTGCTGATGCCAGGGAGCGAACGCATCAAGTGCTGCTGTAAGGGCTCCTAGAATCCATTGGGGGAATGTGCCAACTAGGGTATCCCAAGTGTTTGATGTCAACTTTGCCTATCTTCATGGAATGGCAGTCTCCTAGTCAAAGTGCAGCATCCAATTAGAAACAATCCCTTTATTTAATTGAACACAAAGACAATGGGAGCAGCGAGGGGGCTGAGAAAGCCAAAATCTCTCCTCTAAGTGACTGTAATGTACAAAGTGGGTGTTTAAAACCTATCTTTGCTATCACGGATTCAAGCAAGAGGTTTCATCTTTATATAAAGTGGCTAAATGCACATCCAGAACCGCTGATCTGTAGTGCAGAGGTTTGGTGGAGGGCTTTTTGGTTCCTTTTGGCCCATCGTGCAATAAACTATCGAATTTGATTCTCTCGCTTCTTTCATCCTCGACATGGTCCGCAAATTGGAATGGATGGCTTTGCATTATTAGTCTGTGTCTGTATAATCTAGGGTATAGGGATGCACAGTTGGCCACTTGGGATGATTTTTATGGCACTACCTACTTTAATTTTTGGTTTATGTAATGGCTGTCATGCAAATGCCTTCTGTCTTAAAGCACCCTTCAACCTCTTAAGTCACTACAGGTCACAGCAGTGATGGAAGGATTGAAGGATAAATCTGCAGCGCATTTCGGGGGGATTCTGACATCCCACACTCCCGGAAGTGTCAAATGCCTAAGAGACTGGCTGAGGCTAGATGGAGGGAAGGTAGGAGACACTGGCCACCAGAAAGGCAAATATAATAGCTCATCTATTGCAGAGACTTTTAATCGGAATTGGTTTTTTAACCTGAACTTTAAGAAGGCAATACAGCCTTTATCTGAACCCAGCAATCTGACATTTGATTGGCTGTTACAGATCACTGCGCTATTTGCATCTACCCACTGCATTATGAATGAGCATAAAAAATTGTGTCACAGCTAATATCAAACACTCATCCAAAGTACCACGTCTGTCCCCAAAGGGACCATTGTAACCCTTCACCAACTGAGTCCCACTGCTTGGCCGGCAAACAAACCTCTGTGCAAAACAAAAATAAACAAATGCCACTCAACATTTTAATGCCAAAAGACATGCAGGTGACAAGAAAGTAATCTCTGCGTGGATAAGTGTCAAATTTTATGAACATTTATGATAAAAATAAATCTTACCTCTATGGGACAGTTACGGTTTCCTAATTTATATTTAACGAGTGACACAAGTTCCTGTATTATTAGCCATTGCAAGCACCAATCTCATTCCCTAAACCCGCTCAGGGGTCTAATGCTGGCCACACAAGCACCAATTTTGCATTTCTTTCATTAGATTTGACTGGATTTATTAGTTGCATTTAGGAATGTTTTAGGATTTCCGCCATTGTAACTACAGCCATAGCACAGTATGAGGTGGCTGTGTGGCCCAGAGACACAGGGGGGCCATTAGAGATTTAAGCAGGTAGGATTAGTAAAAGCATTTGGCAAATACATTTGGCTAAAAGGAATGTATATACAGTTTGGGAACCTCAAAAATTCGGAATCTGAGGTATTCCCATTGAGATGGAGATGGGAGGGGGGCCTGTATCCGTTTTGTTATGGGGCCGGAGCACGTATGCAGCCTTGATTTCCAAAAAACTTTACTCACTCAATTTTTGCTTTAATAATTCAATTGGTTAAAAACATTTAATTACAATATATGCAACTCTCTCATTAAACGCAATAGAAATTCTTACAAAACTGCTTCCTTTTTAATTCCACGTCCAAAAATACTGACGGCCAATCAAAAATGCTCACTTGGGTTTCTTATAGTCAGATCACATTGACATAATCAGCTTAGTGAATGACTGGACTGAAGTGCGGGTGTGATGATAAGCAATTCAGATAACCAACTGCTTTCAGGATCAGATTTTTTTTATTACCCTTACATGACTAAGTTAGCTTAGAGATGCTCAGGTAATATCTTTTCAGGGGCTCCAAAAATTACAAAAACTGACATGTAGGGTGGCAGAGAAATGGCACATGAACATTTTGGTTTACCATTTTCAATGGGCACTGTTGTGGGTGAACAATGCGGATTTGGCTTAATTTTAGCACCAGACTGTAAATTGGGTGCAGCAAATGTGTGTGAATGGTATGGACTGCCTAACCTGATAAAGTTTTATCAAGCTATACTTTAAAGGAAAAAATAATTAAGATTAAAACAATTCCCTTCCTGACCCTCTGTGGCACCTCTTCCACGTATGAAAAACAGTGACCCACTGCTGAAGTCCGGGATAGCTACCTACCAGTCTTAATGCCACCCCTCATTATGATGTCACCAGACCACCACTGGAGTCTTCAGGCCCTTGTGAGGATCCTGGTAATGGGGCAGTGGTGTGAACACCCAAAGAAGGACCCTCCTACTCTACGGTGAAGAAGTGGGAAGACTCAGGACTTTGCACGTCACAGGACTGTGGCATTAGGTAAGCATTTGGGGCATTCAGTTTTTCTTTAGTCCCCTTGCGATTAGCTAGGATTGGGTAGAGGCTCCCCTGCCTGGACGTTAATGTGATTACTAATGACTTTTGCATTTCAATCTGATGTAACACTGCCAAACAATTGCATTGTTGCTTCCTTGCAAGAATTAAGAGTTTACAGAACACTCCCAGAAATGTCATGTACTGCTCATGTGATTGGGTCAATGCTTTCCCCAGCAGCTTGTCTCATGTTAGAACACAGAGGCTGGTCATGTGACTATGTTAGTCAGTCCTTCCTCACTGAGGAAGTAGGAAGCAAATGGAGCTCATTTGTAAGTTTGAAACAGAAGATAACCTGACAATCTATAAAGTGACTTGACAAGTATTTTTTTTTTTTTCTTAACAAAAAGAGGAGTTAAGCTTTAAGTTACTTCTTAGAACAGAGGTTCAAGCTTTCCAAGGACCACCAACTCCAAGGTACGTTTGACATAACTCCATTTTTCCCACAGCATGTTGTTACCTGCAGGTTTGGCTGCCTCTCGAAAGAGACAAATCGCATTAGGTAAAAAAGATGGTTGTCAAGCATGAATTTTTATCTGTTTCAAGAAACAAGCAAAGAAGACCCGCAATTGGTTGGAGGTATGCTTCAAGGTGTCTCATTGGCTAATCTAACTGTCTTATGCTGATCTGCATCTAAATACATTCACCGATTCCAATCCTCGTCCAGCACATCGACCCGTACTAGGTTGACTTGGTAATACTGGTTGGCCCAGCAGATTTGTCGTTATAAAATGTGTCAAACTTCGCAAGAGATACATAGAACGTTTTGCATTTTATCACCACTAGACACAAAACAAAAAAGTCATCAAAATGGTAGAAATACCCAGAAGGCCTTGCAACAAACAGAGCGCATTTCCTCGTGAAGTGTTGGCCGCAGAGGCAGCTGCACCAAATTTGAAGAAGAAGAAAATGAAATAAAGCCTGAAAAACACGCCCATGGCCTGGAAGAACAAGTAAAACTTTCACCGACGTCAAAGCCTCCCAAGACAGATTAAGCAGAAGCCCCTTGTTCTCAGACCACTTTCGTAGTCCATCAAGTACAAAATGGAGGATACTTCCGCCTAGTGTTTCACCGCTATAAAAACTTTGTGGTGTCCTTGAACCAGCTAGGTGCCATTTTGGACCTTTTTGACTTCGTCCTCTTCCCAGCATCATCAAAAAAGAGCCTTCACTGGAAGCCAAATTATACAGCAGCGAGAGTCTATACCTTGATACAGAAAGAAAATTAAACACTCCCACACCCACGTACATGTGCAGGCAACATTTTACAAAAGAATAACAAGGACGCCCTTTGATTATCTGTAAACATTTCCATCTTCCCATCAGGCCCGCAATTGCTCTCGTCAAACACACATGCTCACGAACGATCACGCATACGCACAGATGGGCCTGATTCTGCCTCTTTCCAGTGCCCGCCCTGCCCACTCCCACCCCCCGTGGCTTGATAAGGCCTGCCCTTGCTTGAAGGTCTGCCCTTGGTAGTTGGCGAGCCCTGGTCAACACTCAACTAGGCTGCCTTCCTTTACTTCCTGTGGCACTGTATCCCAGATGCACCTCGATCACTCCTAGACCCGGTTGGATTGGGGGCAGTGATGGGTGTTGAATGTCAGAGAGTTGTTCTCGGGGGATTTTTGGGAACAGCAGTCTTGACAGTTGTCTGAAAGGGATCCTGCAATTTAGAAAGAGACAAAAAATTATTAAACATAGACCATCACACAGTTATACTATACTGCATATTAAACTGAACCTATGTTCATACTCTAAACTGTCACTGGACAGGAAAAGAAGGCCTCCAAAAAGGTGCCTGCATCAACGGTCACGTGTTTTGCAAAAATGTATGGGAACCCTTAAATTTAAGTTTCAGTCAGCTCCTGTGGTTTAAAAAAAATGGAGCGGAGAGGGGGGGAGATTTCCCCATCCCAAATGTTATATAACTTATATTGGTCAATATTTTTAATGGATGTCCCTCACTCTTGGACACAGTGGTCTGTCCTAATTTGCATTATAGAGCTGTCCAAATTTAAGGGGCTCCCCGAATCCTCTTTAGTGGATGCAACAGATTACTCAGGCTTCTTGAGACATCAGCTCTTCATATTTGATGATAGTCTAGAGCAGGGGGTAGCCAAACTTCGGCCCTCCAGCTGTGGTGAAACTACAAATCCTATGAGGCATTGCAACTCTAACAGCAACAGGTAGGACTTGCAGAGGCAGAAGCATGATGGAATTTGAAGTTTCACCACAGCTGGAGGGTTGAGGTTTGGCGACCCTGGTCTAGAAGGGTCAAAGTTCAAATTAAGAACCACCATTGCCATAAATAGTGTATTCTTGTATTGTAATTTGAGTGGTTAATTCATGTATGGGGCCTGGCAGTGTTCTAGTTTATACTAATGCCTGTCACAGGAATGTTGCTGGACAGCTTTGTCTGCATGTAAATGTTGAGAAACATATAAAAACATTTAAAAATATAGAAATGGAATCCATATACTAAATTCTATCATTACATGTATTAACTCCATACAGTTATCAGAATAGAACAATTTCTTGCAATAGTGGCCCTTTAAATAGCAAGTCAGAAGAGAAAATAGGTATTCTCAGTTACCCTAAACGTATACAGATGGGAATATTGGGCCTTGCGTGGGAGCACCCAGCAAATTACTGATTACTACATTACAAATTACTACAAAATGCAGCTTTGTCTACAGAATGCTCTCCTAACAGCTCCTAAGAAGCAAAGGCATCGCGTAAACCTGACTGTTGTGTACATCTGTACAATAGCAACAAGTCTGAAGTATCCCCATTGACCAGAGTAGATGCTTCAAGAGCCTGTACAAGCATAAGGGAATAAGACAGATACATACTGTATACTATTATATATAAAAGCTAGATTTTGCTGAAACGGTTTGTGTCCATCACTGCCATAATGCCACACTCTCTCTCTCTCTCTCTCTCTCTCTCTAAATGGACTTTATTTCTTTATTCTGCATTTTGGAATCCAGCGGCTGAGAATGACACAGTCACATGGCTTTGTAGCAGTTGGGGAGAACAGCGCACCCTGGTGGGGTGTCTGTGCCTGCTCCTTGTAATGACATCATCATGAGCACAGCAAGGACTGCTCAGCTATGACATGCAGAAGATGAAGAGACAAATAAACACGGATAGATATTTTTTACAAATCTTCTAAATATGTATGGCCATTAGATTGGTCGGGACCCTATAAACAGTAAGATTTTTTTTCTGATTTATTTTGGGGGTTAGGCTGTTTGGGCTACCAAGAGGCAAAGACTCACGAGTAGAATTCTTTTTTAAAGGGTAATTCCACTTTCCCAAGTGAATTTGGAAAAATGGAATTACCCGCTCCAATCTGGCCCTCTCTTCCCCCCGCTATACGTACCTTTGGGCGATTGCTCCTTCCCCTTCTCCGATGCCCGTACTGCTGGCTAAAACAGAAAGAATGGTCACCAGCACTGCAAGATTTCTTCAAAACTAAATCCTTTTATTCATTCCTGCAGGTCACATCACCAATGCGTGGCCATATGACATTCAAGAATGAATAAAAGGATTTTGTTTTGAAGAAAACTTGCAGTGCTGGTGACCATTCTTTCTGTTATGCAAGTATTTGGCGGCGCCATCCGTGCCCCCCCCACACACATTATATGGGGCTTCTCGGTCAGGAGTGCGGTGGGACTCTCTATTTGACAGTACTGCTGGGTAGGGCAACCCTGCACTCTGGATTTTGAATTTCGCGAGCAATGACTGGTCAGCGCGGTCACTTGATCCCACTGACCAATGAGTGCTCGCCATTTGCAAGCAAAATTCAAAATCCAGAGTGCACGGCTGCCCTACAGTGCTGAAGAGAGGAGGCTTCACAGGACTGGTTGCACAACATGGAGGAGGTATAAAGTAAGTATTGACGCTTAGCCCTTATGCCTTGTAGCACTGGGGGTCCCCGGTTCGTATCCCGGCCAGATCACCATCTGCAAGGAGTTTGCATGTTCTCCCTATGCTTGCGTGGGTTTCCTCCAGGTACTCCGGTTTCCTCTCACACTCCAAAGACATGCTGGAAGGTTAATTGGCTCCTGTCCAAATTGGCCTTCGTATGTATACAAGTGAGATAGGGACCTTGGATTGTAAGTTCCTTGAGGGCAGGAACTGATGTGAATGTGCACTATGTAAAGCGCTGTGTAAATTGTCAGTGCTATATAAATACCAATAATAAATAAATAAAATAAATATTCCTCTACTCCTAGACTTAATGAGCATTGAACACTTGCAGGGGGAACGGAAGGCTGAATGGGTCACTGCAAGGGTACTTTTTATAAAAAAAAAAAAAAAAAAGTGTCCAGCTTTAAACATACAGATTCTGAAATGCTGGTCAATTCCCAGACCAGGAAAGGTGCGGGAGCCTGCATAAATCACATTAGCAACGTGAACACAGACCAAAACATCTTGCAAACAAATGAATTAAGGCCAGATGTGCTAACCGCACATTTGGCCAAGCAAAAAAATAAACCCTTTCATCATTTGCACGTTGCCTGTTTATTGTATTACAGGAGTCAAATGCTCCAGAGAAGTCCCAGCATGCCCTGGTTTTAAAGCCCGACTCCAAGTAGGCATCTGTTTATGGGAACTGTCGTGTTTGCCAAAGGATTTGTAATCCTGCTCAAACAGCCATGTGATCCAGGAAACTCCTAACAGACGGGCCTTTGACCTCCACTGCAGGCAGCACAGCTTGGTCAAGAACCAATCCCCTTCCGCAGTGTGCTGTCTAGACAATGAATGGGCAGAAGAACACCAATAAGGCCATCCCTTTACTTACCATGCTCTCTCCTCCTGTCAGCAACAATTAGGCCATCCCTTTTTATTGTGAGCAGTAGACCCCAACTGGCTCACACTGTTACCCCTCCTTCTCATATTCTGAGTGCTGCTTCACGTACCTTAACCAGTTTTATTTACAAATGCATATCATTTTTTTTGTAATCAATAGATAGCTGCAATCATTTGGTTGTTAACCCGTCACAAATTGAGCATATGATGGAAAAATACTAGAATTTGTATGGGTATGACACAAATTGGCCACCAACCTCCCTCTCCCCCTCCAGAGCAAGTCCAAGCTTTTTACCTTGTTCCTGTAGCGAGAAACAGCTTTCACTAATCCCTGTGACATCATCATCAGGCTTGCAAAATTCTTACAGGGGCAGCTACTGGGGGGGTTAGTTCCAATTGACCTAGGCACGCCCCCAGACTTACGTCTCCCGAAAGCCCTTCCCTTTAGCCCTGGTTCACACCTAGGAGTTTTTGAGCACTTCGAAAAGCGCGTTTAACTGCCCAACACAAGAAATCCCATGATTTTTAATGACCCTGGTTCACACCTGAGCAGAAAAACGCCAGACAGCTAAAAAAAAGATACAGGAGCTTCTTTCCTCCCCATAGACTTCATTGGAAATGCCCAAAAACGCGCAACAGAAGCATGTTGCACATTTTCGTGAGCGTTTTACCCCCGTTTATACGTGCGTTCTTCCATTGCCGACAATGGTTTGCACGCTGCTAACGCGCGTACAAACGTGCAAAAACGGTGCTGCCTAGGTGTGATCAAGGGCTTACACAGTATGAGGGCAGGCTTTTGGGAGTCAAGGCAGCCGGTTGCTTTGTAGGAAAATACATCAAATTGCATGAGGGGGTTATAGTCCAGCAGGCAGGGCTGACCACACTGGGTGGGATTTCAGTGCAGCAGAGGCACTGTGTTGTCAGGGCAAACAGGAAGTTGGGAGCACATTTCCTGTACTGCAGCATTTTTAAAGGGATAAACATGGGAAAATGAGCATGTGCTACAGAGATGTATTAAATATGCTTATTTTGCCCTGACCTACACTTTAAGCAGTTCAAGTTGATTCTTCTGAACTGAATATTGTAATGTAAACAACTATCAGATAAAGTAATGAAGGTTAATAATGACGCTCATGTGTTACAATCTGGAATTCCCTTTTAAACTAGATTTTTTTTTTAAACACAGGGAAGTCTGTTCTTTGCTGCACAAGGAGGAGAGATGGAGGAGGTTAGATCAGGACAGGAGCTGAGCCAGCAGAATCATTACTGTGCTCTGTATATATTTACTGTACATCGAACATGAGTCTAGGGCTAAATTCCTGGCCTTGCAGTCTTGGAATTGCACAAAGCTGATATTCCCGTTGGTGACAACCTCTGGCCTAAGCCTGCATTCACATACATATTGATGGGAAAATACCGCTGGGGCACGCTTGTAACGCTTCACTGCCGCATTGAGGATTTTTTTCCTCCTACAATGCTGTTTGTTATTTTAGGTGTGTATGGCTGCGGGGAGACGGTTCAAACAAGCCAGGCCAGCACAATGAGCTCCTTTCACGGCAGTTATCAGGCACTTTTCACAATATAATCAGTATGGCACAGATAACACGTGCGCCACGCAGCTACGGGCTCTACTGAATAGAACAACAGCTAGAGATGCCAACTAGTTCTTAAAGGGCAACTCCGGTCTTGTTACAAATTAGTGTAAATCCATGCCATACAGGTTAGCCTCTGATGGAATAATGTCCTTTAAATGTAGTACAACTGTAATAGGACAGACCTAAGCAATTAATTGTGCAAATCAATTAGGCCATTGCAATAGACAGTTGTTTTATAACCAACCACGCA